CTGGCGCAGGCCGTGCCGCTGCGTCCTGGTTTGCGGCAGTAGCATCGGAGCTTGACGCGTTAGCCGGGGCACACGCCGGAGGCTATCAACCAGGCGTTCGAGCGTGGAAGCAACAGAAGTGCCCAGCAGCACGGTAAGCAGCGCCTCTGCTTGCAGTGGGGCAGCGAGGTAGTGCCCCTCCCGCGGATCAGAAATTGCTCTGACAAGTTCGGCGAGCGAGGTCACTTGTGCGTGTCGCACGGCGGCCCACTCCCTGATTGGGAGTGGCGCAGCGACGAAGGCTAACTCGGGTACAGGTAGGAAGGGCCTGCCGAGCAGGGCGGNNGCCCGCAGCGTCGAGCAGGAGCGGGATGTACACCGTGGAGTTCGTGCTAGCGGCAAGCGGCAGCAGCGGTGGTTCGGCCTCCGCATACTGGACCAAGCCTGGGGGCTCCACAGTGTTTGAGGCGAAGGGAGGCGGCACGCCCGCGCGCTCCCTCGCTTCGGTGGACTCGACTGGCCGTGAGTGTCCAGGCATTACGGGTGAAAAGGGGCGCTGTTCGGGTGCCGGGGCCAGGCCAGTGTCAACAGGTGCGCATGGTCCAGAAGGGGCTTCGGGCCCCAAGTCCAGCGGCCTGGCCATGTGTGCAAACGGGCATCGCGAGCAAACCCAACGTTCGGCTTGCGTCGCGAGGTCGACCTGCCACGACATGAGCATCAGGCAGTGGTGACAGCACGGGGGCGGTCCTGGCGGCTGGACGTGTGCAGCTGGCAGCACGTTCTGGCAACGCATGCATAGCCACTGCGGCGTCCTTAAGAAGCGATCCCTCTGTCGTTGCGGTGGGGCACTGGGGCCCAATGCATGCGCGCGTCGGGGAGTTCCATAAACCCCGTCGCAGGGCCCGAGAGGCGGCGGCAACAAACGGCGCGCACACGGTCCGGCTCGGGCGGTTCAGCCGCATCGGCACTGGAGAAAGTCCGGGCCGCGTAGTCTCGCACTACTGTGTGAGCTGTTTGGTGGCTGGGGGGCGCCACAGGGTTGATGCCAAGAGCGTCGCATTGGGCCCGCAGGCCGGGTTCGCGAGGTAGGTGCTCGATGGCGGCGCGACAGTTTGGGCATCTGCCGTGCAAGCGCGCACAACTAACCAGGCAAGAAAGGTGCGTGAATGCGTCGCAGCGCGGGAAAAAGGCATCCTCGGCCCCGACCTCCGAAGACGGTTCGAGGAGGCAGACCGGCCGGGCATGCAGCCCTCTGCAGGACCTAGAATGGAAGCAACTTCCCTCGGCTGAACTGGACAAGCCTCTTTTGCTCCGCAGGGCTAAATCACGAGTCTTCTCGTGAGAACGTGTGGAAGTTTCTCCACGAGCAGGGGTGCAACGACCGACACTCATCACTGCTATCTATGACTGGTGTGAATTAGGTGTGTAAGAGTACGCCTATTGAGGGCCTATTGTTCCTTCAAGTCCTTCGTCACTGCTGTTGCTGCTGCTGGTGATGCTTTCTTGTCCTTCTTACTGTAACCACTCTTTCAAGTTACAACATCAGACTTTCCAGGCGCTACCTCAGACCACCAGAGTAGGGCTTCCGCGCAGGGAGCCCGCGCCTGGCTGCACGAACGAAAGCAATTTAATCCAAAGCCAGCTCTTCACCACAGCTTAGGTTACTACGAGTAGGATGCTTTTAGGCATTCGTTCACTTTAGGTTTGTTAAGGTCTTGGAATGAAGGGTCAGGATTTTGGGGCTCAGGGTGCAGGGTTCAGAGCTCCGGGTGTTGTAACAAGACCTTCCGGAAGCTTGCGGTGGCCAATTGATGCTAAACTGTTTCACCTCTCTCGTCAAGGACACTCAGTTTGGGCTGGGATTCTTGCCATTATTACGACAAGTGGTTTATTGCATGCTTTTTTGAACAAGGGTGGTTGTCACTGCTTGCATGTGTGTTCCTCTGGCGATTCTCCCCATCATGCTGATTAGTCTTGGCATGGTTACCGTGACGAATCTGTTGTGGAGTGCTTGCGGTCTTCCGGCTTGATGTGATAGTAGTAATAGCAGTAGCAGTCTGCTACTGCTACTCCCACTGACTGCTTCACCGCCAAATGGGGGTTTCCGAAAATAGGGGACCCGGATATAGTACCCGAAACAGTAGGATCCTTATTATAAGGACCCAAAAAAAAAGTACCCCTCATTTTCGGAGACTCCCAAATCTTAGTTTGCGTCTCTCTGTTCGGCGGCTCTGGGCTCCAGACTCTTCGCGACTCAAGTACTTGGCCGCCCGAGGGTGGCGCTCCATCAGCTCACCCAGAGCTCCTTCCAAGTCGCAGCGCTCGTCTACGGAAAGAGTGCAGCAGAGGACATAAAGGAATGCGGGATAAACCTAGGTCAAGAATCGGGGCAAGCAGGTTGCTCTGTCTTGTCTGCGAATGAAGCACTAACAATGCTGGGAGCCCCGTACACGATGGTCCTCCTCGCAGGTAGTCTCGCTTGTCTGAAGACCTGAAGCGCACACATCGTGCACTCAGGCAAAGGTTTTGTCGACGCGCAGTCACTGCACTGTTTTGCGTCGGTTCTCCGCAAACGATCGAGACATGGTGCACGCAGCGCAGCAAGAAGCTGCGGCGGTGCTGAAGTGAGAGCCGCAGCCGCCAGCACGACGGGATCGGTGTCCAAACTGCGAGGTGCACGTGACAACGCCAGCTGCAGCAGACCGACGGATACGACCAGCTGAATGCGACTGCGGTGCCTTTGTGAGCGCCCCTGCCTGGGTACAGAGCACAGAAGGAGCACAGCGAAACAGCAGAGCGCCTTGCTGCCAGGCCGCTCAACCAGTCGTAGTGCAGCGCCCACTTCGCCAGCGGCAGCGCAAGAGCTGGCAGCGCAGTGGAAGCTCACGGCATCCACAGAGCCCTGGGCGCCTACAGCACGCGGGGCATGGGATCCTCGCCGAAAACATCACAGCTCGGGGCCCAACAAGCTTCTTGGAGATGCAGCACAAGCTTGCGCCAAGTGGATCCGAAGGCTGCCAGGCACGTGTTCAGTGCCTCGAGTCGTGGTCCACAGTCGGACCCGGGTCGGGGAGAATGCGCAACGCGAGGCGTTCGTGCCGAGAGGCCGTGGTGTCAGGTCGCAGGCTCCGGGAAGCCTCCCAGAGCTGCACGCCCCTGCGACCCTGAAACGCCAATCCCAGGGAGCCTGCGCCCTCAAGGCCGCCACAGCGCTCCGCCACCTGCTCCACTGCGATGCTGAGGGGCGTATTCCACCGTCTGCTAGCTCCGGCCTGCAAGAGTCGGCGAAGGCCGCGAGCTGCTCCGTGAAGCAGACGAGGTCTTCGGCCACCTCCAAGCAGCGATCCGATTCTGCTCTCATGCCGTGGGCCCATCCCTCCCGCCTGCCAGCGCCCCAGCGCCGCAGAAATGCCCAAGACCCGGCGCCAGTGCCCGGCGCGCCTGGCGGCCGCCATGGCCGTGGTGGCACAGGAAGCTGTGAGAGCTGCTCCTTTCAGAACTCAGACATTAGCTCTCGTCTGCTCCCCTAAAGTCCCCCCAGGTCCCAGGCCAGTCCTGAGCAGAAGTGGAAGGCAAAGAGCTGCATTGCGGCTTCCCACTGCAGAGCTTCACCTTGGAACTCGGCTGGGCCGCTCTCAAATTCTTCCTGAACGCCTCTGAGCCTCAGCCCAGTCACCGCAGGCGGCTGAACTCGCGGCCAGCGTAATGGCGTCTGGGCGAAGAGCTTCCCGGATGCTGCGAGTTGTCTGTGTGGCCTGCTCCCAATTCTGGCCTGGAGTCGCTCGCGAAACTCACACACCCCACTGATCCGATGGCATTTGCCGGCCTCGGCCCAAGCTGTTTGTCACGGAATTCAGCTGAATGACATTCCGGGACATGCCGTCCTGTGGCCAGCCGGGCAGGCACCGCCCATATTTGACACGTGATGGTCAGGATTCTTACATGACAAGGCCGCACCGGACGCACCTGGCCTGGGCAAATCCGGCCCATGCATTGAGGGCCCGGTGCCAGCGAGCTCCCTCGGCGAAGGCCTACAGGTGGCGAGAACCGTGGACAGACGAGACGAGCAGCTTGTGGTGTCAGCATGGCCTGCAACAGAGTCGTCATGCCGACGGCATCTCGTCGGAGTCGAGCCTCCGAAGCACAGCGGCGATCATCCACCAAAGAGCAAGTGAGGCAGCGACCGCGCCCGCAGCCCGCCTCTCGCATCTCCTCCATCAGCTTCGATGCCAAAGGCCAGTTAGCAGCGGCTGCGGCTGCATCGCTGAGGGAGTTCTGGGCCACGAGGTCCGGCTGCACATGCCTTCCGCTCGCATCGATGCGGAGGACAGCGTTGCTTCGCACTGCTGGGCCAATGCTTTACTTGGAGGATCATGGGACTTAGTAAGTAAGGTTATAAGTCCCCTAATTGGGGTTATAAGTATAGTTACCCTAGTTATAACCCTACTTACTAAGTCCCATGATCCTTTAAGGACCAAGGCGCAGCTCTTGCATCATTGCGACGGAGCGAAGAGCTGCTGACCACAAGGCATGCAAGCTGCAGCTGGCAATCCTTGGTCCTTAGACTTAGGCTCCCCTAAAGAATCTTCACTACCAACCTCAGGACCCTTTCGCTCTTCTCTCTTCTTGGATCTGCGATAATTCACAGCTTTGCCATCGAATCCCAGCTGCAGAGCACCAAGGGTGACGACTGTGGGAAAGACGGTGTGCCAGCGCATGTCATCCTCGGGCAGACTTCGTAGGCATACATGCATGCACATGCATATAGATCACACGCACGCTCTCCGCCATGGCTCGAGGAGATGGCGACTACGGTACCAAGCACCGCGGACGCTGCCCACGCCGCTGATGGCCTCTTCAGATGACGCAATGTGCGGGAGGCTTCGGTCTCAGGCGCCAGCATTCTGCCCAGGCGCTGCGTTGCAGGGCACCGCCTCAAAAGCTCTGTCACGGCGCCGCTACATGCCATGCAGGAGCGGGCTTTTCTCAAGCCTTAAAACCCAAACGCAAGAACCATAGGGTTTAGGGTTTAGGGTTTCGGGTTTAGGATGAAGAGCCTGAGCCCAGAGACTTCGCCCTGCCAAGCGGCGTTGGCTTGCTGGCCAGAAGCCGCGATGCTTCGCAGAAGGCAGAGGCCCGCCTGCCACCTTCGGCATGCAGCGCATGCTGTGCATCAGAACTTAAGGGCTTAGGGTTTAATATTATAGGGTTTAGGGTTTAGGGTTTAGGGGTTTAGGGTGTAAGGTTGTACAGGTTTAGGGTTGGAGAGCGGCCTGGATGCTTTGGAGCAAGCGCCGAGTGCGGCGCTCCTCGGACGGAACTCGGCTCCCGAGCTCAGACCCGAAGCCACACGGCACGACAAGGCACCCAGCAACAACGCGGTCCTTGAGACCATCGTGGCCCGCAAGCCTACGCAGGCAAGGGCTTCAAGACAGCACATCTCCCTCCTCCCGCTCCTCCCCGCCTTGCTGAAGAAGTGCACTGAGCAGACACAGAGACTGGAGCCATCCTCGAACTCAGGGGAAGCGTCAAGACATGCGAGCAAGTCAAGCAGACCAATGTCATGAAGCTGGGGGGGCGTCTCGACTGTCGGCCGTATGCACCGATTGCTGTGTTGTACCTGGTCGAACCCATCTTTCCAAAGCGGGTTTCCGCACATGGAGCACCCAAGGCAGCCAGGCTGCGCTTCGACGTCTTTGAAGACCGCCGACATGTTGCCAGGGGCAAGCACGGCCATGCCGACTGGACATGGCAAGCCGCACTTGCGAGTTGTGAGAGTGCGCCAGTGGGCGTGTCTAAAGGCATACTTGGGCCGAACTCGACACAACAAGCAGGTACAGTAGATGGATCCTGCGACTTCACTGTCTTGATTTTCTGAAAGCTTTCGGGGGAGACTGAGGCTTCCGCAACTCGTTGATGGGCTTGCCCAGCTGGACACACCGCTCAATGGCCTTGCCAAGCACCGGCTCATGATGGATGAACCTCGATGTCCCTCGCACCTTAGCAAGGTACTTGTCACCCTTCTTCACCAAGGAAGTCACCTGCAGACGAGTCCGAAACGACAGACTTCAATATAACACGGCTGAGAACTGAGAGGCACCTTGCCCGGCTCGCCGAATCGGGCCGTACGGCCAGCGCGGTGGAGGTAGTCCTCGGTAGTTCCAACGAACGAGCACGGTTAGGGGGTGGTGTCGTATGGTGTCGTCATCCACCCGCACCCACCCGCAAATGCAATTTTTCTGCTCTGCAGACGGGCGATGGCTGTCACCGCTTGCAGCGACATCGGCGGTGCCCAGCGCTGAAACCGTGCCAACGGCGGCCTGTACCTATGGCACGGAAAGGCAGGAAGGGAATCCCGTACAAACATCCCAACACCGGGGCACAAGAAGGCTTGATGCTACGACGCCGACACCTGAGAAGGGGAACAGAACATGTCTCCTCGCACTCTCGATGCTTCCCCGCCTACGATGTCGGCTCTAACTTTGGAAGCAGCCTGACCACAAATCCGGCTCCAGCTTCGGAACCCTCTGCTCTCGCTCCGATGCGGGCCTCGGCCATCATGGCAGCACTCTCGTTCAGCGTGGACCCGAGTCCAGCCAGCTTCTTCACCTCAGAAGTAAGACAGCTCTGCCAGTGCACTGGTGCTCAAGGCGAATACCTGCTCGCCTTTGGCAGACGACAGCCTGGTGCTCCGAGCCCTGCACTCTGCTTGGCAGAGGCCCGACCCCGAGCAGCTCGCAAAGCTCCTGCGCAAAAAAAGCACCGAGGAAGCTCGGCTCGGCGACGAGTGCTGGTCCCTTGCGCCTCGCAAAAATGGCAGCAGTTCCTGTTGAGAAGGTCGTACTCAGACATGGGCCACTCCTGCAAAAGAGGTCCCTTGCTATCTTTGTGAGCCGACGAAGTGCAGGTGCGCCTGCATCAAGCTGCAGATCAACTCCACAAGTTCTTCCTCCGAGATGGTCACGCTTCCCATGACCACGGCCTCACAAGAAAACACCAAGGCTAAGACTTGGGGGCTTCACCGGACCGGGGGCGGCCTCGTGGAAGGTGTGCGACAGGGACATTCGGGGCAAACAGCTCCAAACCTTCGCAGACACACAAACAGCTCCTCAGAACGCTGCGCTTTCCGCAAGCATTTTGCGTCGGCCGAGGAGCTCCGGTGTCATGTCGGTCACACGGGCTGCCCTTGGGGCACACGAGACCCGCAGTCTGACGCCTCTGACAATAGCGGCCTGCCTCTGGCCAGCCGCCGTAGCTCCACTCCGTGCCGAAAACCTGCAAAGCGAAATCAGACTTGACTTCCGGATCCTTGTTCCAAACGAGCTCTTGCCTGTACAGCGCAGTGGAATGCACCGAGGCCCACATTCTTAAAGATGCCGTTCAGGCTTTGCACCTCAGACTCTCCATCTCTTCCTGTCCCCCTGTTCTGGTTCTCGCTCAGACAAAGCTCGGCATTACTCTTGCCCAAGTTGTAGATGTTGAGGAAGACCAAGTCGTCATCCTGCAGCACTGCACAGAGCGGTTGCCCCAAGGAGCACAGCCCGCCGTGTCCTCTCTTGAAGCCCGCCCGGAGCCATCTGTCAAGGCGTGCAGTACTCTGAGAGTCAGAGCTTGCCAGAAAAGTTCTCTACCATTCCAGACTCTGATGGTTCACCGGCCTCTGTGGAGGTAGCCCCATCGCGGGGTCCACTTGGAAGCCTTTGCGCTCCTGGAAACAAGCTTTGAACAAGATGAAGATGCAAATGACGATGACCGCAATGAAGGCAGTATTTAGTAGGCGGCGCAGTAGCAGTAGCCGCAGCCCGGTAGCAGCAGCACCACCAACAGCAACCGTCGTAGTTCTTGTTGCTGTCGGCACAAACAGAAGCAACCACTACCACTATAGTAGCTTGGACGGTTGCGATCCTGATGGGGGCCAGCATCGTGGGAGACTCGCTGGGAAGCAGAACCTCCGGGAGGTTCACCAGCTTCGCCTCGAACTCTCTACACACCGCCCGATGGCCTGTTTGCCCCGTCACTCTTCCTATAAACAATAAACTGGCCGTAAGCCACACTTGCAGGAAATGTCGGCCTTGAAGGCACACTGCCATGAATCTGACTGCGTGTCGGGGGGCTGACAGGAGACCGTAGGGCGATCCGACCTCCAGGGGCTCAAAGCGGGAAGCTGCCCGTAGTAAAAGCCCCGAAGCTGCCGGCCTCTCGCGTGCTGATTCGCAGGCAGTTCTGACCCAGCCGAAGCGTGCCCGCCGGGAGGGTGAAGGCACTGGCGACGAATTTGTGCCGGAATGACTTTCGCTGTGCCGGGTCATAGTCGCCTGAACACAAGCGTAGCTCCGCAGCGGATTGACGCCCAATGCCCCATTCCCGCCGAGTCGCAAATCACAACAGAATCGTTGACCTTGACATCCACAGGGCTGTAGCCTCCAGAAGCAAAGATTCGGGACGATTCCGATCTGAGGATGAGTTTGCACCCGCCCAGCCCTAAACTCCTAACTCCTAACCACGCCTAAACCTCACCGCTCTTAACCCCAACCAGACCCCCAAACCCCAAATGCCCAAGCCCAACATCCAGAACCCATTTTTCCCTTTGCGCGCGGCACCTTCGAGCCCCCCTCGGCCGGGCGCCGTCCGGTGAACCAGCGCTAGCTGACAGAGCAAAGGCAAGTCCTCCAGCTCCTGGGCGAAGAGGGATCGTAGTCATCATCATGAACTTAGAGCTTACCGGTGTACCGATTCAGGGGTGTAAGGAGTTTGGGGTGTTTTTTGAGGGGTTCAGCGTGGTCCAGGGTAGTCGACGCAGCGCGAAAACCCGTCGCGCGTCGAAACGGCTTAACACGGCGGTCATATGAAACGGAGCCATTCTGTCGCTTCACCAACCAAGGCACGAAGGAGACTTCCAAGTAGCAGTGGCTACCTTGCAGGCAGCAAGACAAGGCATGATGTGCCTGAGAACCGGCATCCACAGCTGAGTCAACTGCTGAAGAAGAGTGCCTGCATCCCTTCCTGCAAAGCTCGGACAGGCTGTCCCTACTCGGCTCACAGGCTCTCATGCGCGAAGAGTCCTCGGGAGGAAGCTTCCATGACAGAAAGTGGTGACCTGCCATGGCACTCGCCGCCAAGGCCCAAATCAAGCAATGTGCACTTGGAGGATCATGGGACTTAGTAAGGTTATAAGTCCCCTAATTTTTTACGGCTGCCATGCGCATCC